GATTTAAAACGGCTTTCCATTCCATTAGATGAATCGCGCGGATAATTAATGCAGTTACGGTTTCCCATGATATTCAATCCGCGGAAACCATAAAGCCGCGGTCGTGTAATGTTGTCCAAGAATACACTTGTAGAATCTGTATTATAACGATCCTTTTATCGCGTTCGCATATATATATATCAATCATTTTTACAATTTATATATAAGAAAGGAATATTTATAAAAGAACGAAACTTTAAAAATATTTATAAATGCACACATTTTAGAAGACTTTCTCGGACATTACAAGTTAATTCTCGGTATTTCTTTATGAATAGAGATTTAGATCTCTCTTTGAAAGGGTTAAATTCTCAGGTTTAAAATCACGTGCCAGATTAAATCCGAAACGTATCGAGCGGCACAAGCGTCGCTTCCGTGCCACCATTATCCGACCATTCTCTCGCATCGAGAAATATATCTCGCAAGGCGAAGTTCTGCTGGAACATCAAAAATTCGCGTGCTCCCCCGGGATGGGAGCTGAATCATTTAAATTTCTGCGCAAACGACCGCGCGCGCATGCGGGCAAAACTCAGGCTCTCCCGGCGGAGGAAAGTTTAAAAAATGACTGGGGGGCAAAAGAGAGCGAGAGAAAGAGAGAGAGAGAGAGAGAGAGAAAAAAAAAGCGCGAGAAAAAGGGTATTATCCAGCTCGCGAATCGTTGAAAAGTTTCGCGTCGAGGGTGATCTCTCGCCCGAAACTATCCTCAAACTATCGTCAAACTATCGTTGCTACTGACCTTGTTTTCGAGCCGCCTCGAGTGTACGACGTGCTGAAAATCTTGCACGGAAGTTCGTTCCCTTCTCCCGAGTGTGTGCATTCGCACAAAGAAATTTCCATTTTAATAGTTCTGTTTGCTCTAGCTGCTGTACTGTGCCCGGTACTTTGTTCAGGTTTGCCTCATTGAGTGGAGACATTGAATTCGCGCTTTTCAAAGCTCCAAAATGGACTAAAATTATGGTTTCGTACATTGCACTTTAAAGCAAATCTTATCGTAAGTTTTATGTAATTATATCATTTCAGCTTCGCATATTTCTTTGTTATATTAACTAAACTGTGTCGATACTGACCTGAATTTCTCGATAAAAGAGAAACACTCGATATTCCTTCATAAAAATATTCATAGAAATATTTAATATGTTCGTGACTTTAATTCTTCATGTCTCTCTTTAAATTATCACGGATCAATGTATAAAAAATTTGAGGTTTTAAAATTCTCGTCGATTAATTGTAAGTTTAAAGAGATTTTTGCCAGTGAAAATATTTTAAAAGAGGATTTACATTTTTATTTCACAATATTGCAAGCTCGTTTTTGTTGATAGAGATTACCACCGATCGATGATAGCGTGTGTCGCGAAAATTAACAAAAAATTGATAGCGTGCGTCGCAACAACGCTTTTTGCATCTTCTCTCATTCGGCTTTGATTTTATGCATTTACCCGCATGCATGGCGTTAAAAGTTTGACTCATTTATTTTAAAATTATACGTGAACATTTTTTTATGAATTTCAATGAAATACAAAGATAATTTATAACGCATGGATTTTAACAGCACTTTTAAAAGATGACTTAGGCTGATATTTTAAAATAAACGATATTCCTATAACTATTATAAGAAACTATTATAATTAAAAGTAATTTAGCAAAATATTCGCATATACACACATTTAGTTAAATTTTCGTTCAACTAAAATTACAGCATTTTTTTATAACAAACAACTCAATTCGATATCTAAATGTAAAACTCGTTCGTTGTAGGAATATCACAATTTCTTTTATTACTTGCGAAGACTGACTTTGCATATATATGTGTTATATCTCGCAAATAGTACCTTACGTGATGTTCTTAAGAGAGGACGGTGAATCGAGGAACGTCATTTGTAGAATATTGGAGTACAATCTGGTGGATTGCATTCTTCGAAACATTCGATCCTCGGAAAAGGGATCAGAAATAAGGAAGCAAGAGAGAATCGAAGACCAGTGGAGATTTCCCAGAAAAAGATAACATACCATGGCATTCAGAAATAGGTCCTGAACTCTTGTTCGTATCTTTCTACCGATATTACATTAAATATTAAAGTAAAATTTTTCTCGTCGAAACAAATTTATAAATATTCATTTATTATGTTAATTTATTAATTTATTATATATATATATATTATATAAAGATTAATATTCAAATTGTGCTTACATTAATTATTTTCTAATAATATAAAGTTGAGAAATTTACCTTGTTTTATCTTTAATCAAGAAGATTATTATTCAAAATGAAGCTCGCTTAAAATTCTTACATTTTTATATAGGTGTAAATTGATAGTTTAATAATTGTAAAAAAAATGCTTATTTCTGAATTTCTTTTATGGATACAATATTCTGAAAACAAACAAACGTATATAAAACATATAGGTTGACAGATATTGCTACTGAAAAGAGCACACAGATATAAATCATGCAAAAGTACTTTACCGTGAAATAAAACATAATTTCGCACGTATACAGAAAATATATCTGGCGCTATCGTGTCGATACGCTATTCAACGTCTTTTCACGCTCCTTCTCACGCTCTAGCGAGATCTCGTTTCCTACGAAGAATGTCGACAGGCGAATCCATCAGTATATATCGAGAATTCTAGAGAAAATGACGTATTCTCAGATTCACCGAACAAGCTCCTGTCTCGTTGATATCGAACGCAGAAGGATGCGGTGAATGCATTGCGTCCGGAATCGATTCTGTCAAGGATGTTAATGATGGGCGAAAGGAGCGTTCGCTTAACCATTGTTGATAGAAGCTACCGTAATTGTATACCGGTGATCGAATTTTACATTACAAGCGCATTTCTGCAGATTAATCCGGCTCCCGAGGCGTCTCTAAAATATAAACCGTTTCCTAGCATCTTCGCGGAATATAAATTAAATCGATAAACGTCGTCTAGTAAATGTAGAAAGATACGCGAGATCCTTTAAGTTTATCTTTAGAAACGAATATAATGTATGAATAAATATATAACACACAGCTAATAGGATTTTAAAAACATTCTATTATGATTGCTTTAATTAAAATTCTCAACACTTGTGCGTTTCGTAAGTAGTAATGACCGCTTTTTAAGCGAACACGTAGAAATGACTATATATAATCAGACAAAGTGGGAAGAATTATTTTATGATCAGAACGGAAGAATAGAAGTTAATATTAATGTATAAATATTTAAAAAACACGTTTCGTGAGTAGTAATGAGCCCATTATAAGCAGACAATATGGGATGCGAGTAGAAATGGCTATACATGATCAGACTAAGTGGAAAGAACCATTTTATGGTCAGACTCCAACGGGAAAATAGAAGTTACTATTAATGTATAAATACTAAAAGACGCTTTCGCGTGTTCTACTATTTTACTTAATATAATTTAATATGATTTTAGACGTGCAAAACTTTTAATAACTATATTCACCGCTATATTAATTGCAGTTTCACTTTGCTTTAATAAATTCCGGATAAAGATCTCGCGGTTAATAGTTTGCGGTGATGAATTCGCGCTTCATTTATACTCAATTTTAGTAAAAGAGTCTTAATTTATCATTTAATACCTTTTAACAACAATTTCACGATGTAATATAATTATAAATCAACAGTCAATATTATTCTGTAAATTAAAAACAAAACCACAAATATCGTTTATAAATAGAATATTTTTACGATATTTACGAAAAAAAGAATTTTTGAAGAAAGTAATCCTCCCCTCTCTCTCTCTCTCTCTCTCTCTTGTTCGATATCTCCGATTACATCCTGTATACACAGATCTTCGGGATATTCCTTTCGCTCTAATCGCGCAGAGCTTTCACCTCGAGTTACAGAATAACGTTGGTTTTCTCGTTCCTCCGATATATCGACGTAATCCCTTTCATCGATCCGGCTCGGTTATACGCTCGGTACCATCAGCGTAACACGTGCGGAAGACTATTCAGCGAGCTCACCGCTTTCCTTTTACCGACCTCCGGGGTGAAGATAGCGGCTGACAGCTTGCACGGAGGAGTTTACGGGAAAGATGATGTAGCATCACGGCAGCGGCGGTGGCGGCGGCGATGAACTCGCGCCTCGTTTGTACCAGAGTAAGAACTGCCTGGGTCTGCTGGTAGATGCACTGCTGCTCACGTTTTGCCGGCCAGTCAAGCCAGCCAGCCAGCCAGCGAGCCAGCCAGATCCGGGAAGATGAATTACACCGGGACGTGATGGTGCCGTCTGCTTCACGAGTAGCGCCACCGATCGGAATCGCGGAAACTTGTGTACGGATCCCGACACACGTCGGCGCGGCCCCTTCGGAGCTTTCCTGCTCGCGCGTTCGTCTTATCGAGAGGGCTCGCGTGCTCCTCGGGCTTTTCGTGTCTCGATGCTCCGACGCGGAGGATAAAGAGAGAGAGAGAGAGAGAGAGGGTGTGGCGATGGGGGAAGATTGATTGCATCGAATACCGCGTACGGTGTACGACGAAAGAACCCGGGCGCTGCCGGGAGTTTCCGAGCGGCGTTTTAAGGAATTTCGCTTGCATCGCGAAACGACGAGAGGATTCTCTCAGCCGACCTCGAAACGCGCATGAATAGGGATGAACATTTCGGATACGCTCGAATGTGAGCGATCGCTTGTTCCGTCTCTCGATGCAGTTGCTCCGCGAGCGAGAGAATTTTGTTAGAGTGCTCCTGTTAATCGGGGAAAATCGAATCTACGATGAAATTTCTTTGTCGTCCCTTCTATTTTCATTCCGTCGATTTATCGTGCATTTTTGCGAATTCATTTTCTTAGTACAAATATTATGTGAGATGGGGTTTAGGAAATCCTTTTATATCTACATATATTTACAGGTTATTTCAATAGATTAAGCGTTAATTAACACTTGCCATAACGTGGATTGATGGTACATAAATTGTGATAATACAAATTTTAACATAGTAAATATAGATGAAGGGACGTACCTCGACCTTTACGCCGGGCCGAGGAACATCTGGGTTCTTTGGATGCTGTCGGGCAGAAATCGAAAGATTTCGTGATCATCCTTGTACCATTTGACCGAGTAGAGATTGCTGCCACCCGATATTCGCCATTCGCATTTCAGTTCGATCGAAGAGCCCACCACGGCCTCTTTTGGCATCTTAAAGTCCACATGGATATCACTGCTCGCTGAAACACAAACATACACGTCCATTTTAAATATCTGCAGAGCAGAAATGATGATGCATCATGAGCGAAATCATTCCTTGATCGTTAAATAAAAATTTAATTTAATATTAAATTAATAAAATTAATAAAATCTAAAATCAAATTGAATACTTAAAACGTCGTTAGTGGTATTTAAAATAGGAACGATATATTAAATTCGACCCAAACTCTCTAGCCAAGAAATTTTTTTATTTTATTTCCACAACGTTTCGACCATCTGTTTTTGGTCCTTTTCAAGTGAAAAACTAGAACGGTACAATTAATTATAATTAATAAATAATAAACATTTTTGAAGGTAAACGCAGATGGTCGAAACGTTGTGGAAATAAATAAAAAAATTTCTTGGCTAGAGTTTGGGTCGAATTTAATATATCCTTAACAGTAATATATGAACAGTCAGTACTAACAATAAGGCCAACAACAATTAGAAGCATCGTCATCTCAAGTTATTCGAACAATTTTTAACAAATATCAAATATTTGGAGAGGATGGACATAATCATTGCCAGATCGAGGGACTATCGTCAAATAACAATAAGTTGGTTCGTTTGGAGCAGTGTATAAGTGTCACTCCGAGTTTTTATTAATAATTCTAAAATATTTTATGAATAACCGGACGAATCATTCTGCTTCTAATTGGGTTCTTACTTTGTTGAACTATTTTAATGGTTTCAATTCATTGTAAATATATTTTGCGTTTTAACTATGACTTAACTATATAACTTATATTGACTATGTATTGCGGATTTTTTATTAGAATTTTATGTATGTATTTATTTATTATCGTTATTTATTATCATTATTTTTTGCGCCTGAAGAGGAGCAAGTAGAGCTCGAAACGTTTGTGTAATTATTATTTCAAATTAAGAATTTTTCTTCTAAATAATAAATAATATCGTATTGCTCGTTACCATGGCCTAATTTAATAATTTATCATTGTTTTTATTGTCATACGACTTGAACATTGGTAAGTGATGGTTTGATTAGGTATTAATTTTGCATTAATATATCCTTCCTATAATAAAATCTAATTAATAAAATTCTTTATACATATTTAGATTTATAAACTGCGAAACGAAAATTCATATAGTTTTCAAATAAACGTTCACGTGAAAAACTTTTCTCCTTTTCGAGTAAACGATTTCATTCATTAATCGTCATGGTATTCTCCGATCTGCAGATCGGGAACGATTTCGCACGAGTTTCGAAAGAGCAATCCAGCTTTCGTAAATCGTGTTATCAAGTTCGCTCTAATTCTTGATCACGAATAGGGTTTCTAATCTCGCGCGACGCGCAATTCCGGGTTTCCTATTTCGCTAATCCGCGGACGCGGACATGAGAGAGGACGCGTTTAGAGTCCGCAGACGTCTCGCAATTACTGTCTGCGTCTGTCAGCCGAGCGCGGGACGGACGGTAAAAGGGCGACGTGTGTTAAGCGCGAGAATAAATACGCGGTTAACGAAGAGGGGGGTGAAGCAGGGGAGTGCCAGAGGCTGGTTCAAGGCAAATGCCACTGCGAGTTTCGTGCCCAAAGTTCCCCTCCGAAACTCGAAACGAACGCACTTCGCTGTGCATACATAGATAGTAGAAACTTGCACGAGTTATTACGATATTGTAGAATAACGTTTCTGGGTCGGATTAAAGTTTCTAAGTTTAATAGAAAGTTCAGGAAAGTATAATAGTGTACTTATAAGCACTAATGAATTATGAATAATTAATAATTACTGAAAGAGAAAAAAAAAACGCAAGTGACGTAATATATAATATCGTACATATATATATATATATATATATATATATATATACACATGTGTAGTTAATAACAATTAATTTTTAATTCTTAATTTTTTAAGCATTGTTATATATCGTTATAAATATTTTACTAATGTAATTAATCACCACGCGTTTCTTGATATAGTAATGATTACGTTACGAATAATAGTCGTTAATTCTGTTCAAGTCGTAACGAGTTGTATCACGGTAGACTTGTTCAGTCATATCGAAACGCCGGTCGTGTGCGGTAAGACAATTTATTCCAAGCTGCTAACGAACGCGTTACGCACCAACTCTGCCGGCTGGCTCATAATAGAGGCGGGTATCGGGTTAATTTGAAGGGCCGGCTGGAAAAGCGCGGCGTGAGGGATATCGCAGAAGCGTGTTGGGTTTAAGTGCGCGCAGGCCGTTCCCTGTTAAAGGTTCATCGAGCGGAATGTAGGGAGACCTCGATTGCTCTCCGCATCGTCCGGCCAGTGTCCGCAATTTACAGTCGCGCGTGTCAAGATTTAATGACGCGCGAATTTCGGCTTGCGAGTCAAGGTGCTCGAAGAGCAAACCGGTGGTTTACTCTCATAAAGCAGCGTGTCTATATAACGGCCGTGAGTTATGATCCCGGTACAGGATGGAGATCCCCATCTCGATTTTTGTATCTTAAATATTTAGGGAAGTTATATACGAAATGTTATATAAATAAGGCGTCAAAATATCAAGTATTTAATTATTTTTTTTTGTAGAAGAATTTTTGTTCGTACATAAGAAGCTGTGAAATATGTCTTGGGAGGATCAAAGGGGTTTCAAATGGAGAAATTGATCTCTAGTTCGATGACTAGTATATGTATATATATATGTATATGGGAGAGGGTATGTATATACGCATAGACTATACATATATATCGCGGAATATAGAACACTGCGTTGACATTCCACGGAATTGGCCTAACCGTCGGTGTCAGTTGCAGCTGCTTCCGGCGTCGCGGTTTGCGTTTCGCGATGCATTTTCGAACGTGTCTCTCCATCATCGTCCTCCCCTCTGTCTCTCTCTCTCTCTCTCTCTCTCTCTCTCTCTCTCTCTTTCTCCTTCCGTATCTCGTCCGCGCGTCGTCAATTTCCGTCGTTACAACGACCGAGTCGTTAACTTGCCAATGGAGTTTGACATCTCATAGCTGAGACTGCATTACGGACGTTTCCGTGCCATTTATCAACGGCACCTGGCGCTATTGAAAACTGTTTTGCTGCGACGGGACGTGCGAAAAGCAAAGCGCTGAAAGTATTCGCCACCATCGATTTCAGTCACGATACATTTCAATCAAAGAGAAATTTAATCACGCACAGCGTACGCGTAATTGTCTGCTTCTATAACAATTACGTAAACGGACTTGCGAACAATATCTTCTCTTAAGAATATTTACCATTTCTGTCCATTGCAATTTTCTCAAATATTCTATTTGTTTGATTTTTCATTTACAAATATTTAATTGTAAATATCTCGCAATATTTCCGATTCTCTTCGCAAGATGATTATGGGAAAACTCTTGAACGAATTAATCCATTCTAGTTGAAATTTATCAAGATAATATATTACGATCGTACCTGACAGAGACCTTCCCGCGTAAATGAAGTCGCCGGGAAAGAAGTCGCGAGAGACAAAAGCTTCCTCAAGATACGTTCAAAGTGACGGCACTAGTCCGTTATCCGCGTTCTCGCAGTTCCTTTAAATCCTATCCTCTACTTTCTACTATTCGTTACTATCCTGCGACAAAGACAGCGCATTACGCAAAGGAATTTGTCCAATTGTCTCGATCGAAACCGCTCTTACGAGTCGTCTCGCTATTGTCATCGAGGCTTCCCTCCAGCATTTCTGGACGCAACGACGAGGAATATTTCTTGCTCATCGCGGACGTTAAAGCTAAGTCTTTCAAACTGTCCGAGTCTTTTCAGGCGTTTCCTTTATAGTGTCTGATCTCCACCGGATTCCATTCAAGTCGCGCAAGACTCCTTTTCGCGAATTGAAATCGAATGCCTGGGCTACCTCTCTTCGCCTTTGCGACGACCCTCATCTCTCGTCACCCTCTCTCTCTCGCATGAAATTTATCTCTAAACAAGGTAGACGTTTTGCCGCGCGTCTAGATTTGCGATTCCTCATCCGCGAAGCAGAAACGTTTGCGCCAAATCAAAAACGTTTGCCGATGCGAACTTTTCTTCGTCTCGCTTGGCGAAGCGAAATAATATTTCTGACAAGAGAAGCGCTCTCTCGTGTATATTTCGCTTTATCGTTTTACCTTAGGTCGGAGCATTATTGCTCCGACTTTTTGATCATAACTGCATATACACGTAACACGCAAATGTATAAAAATTTAGATTTTTAATGTAGTATTCATATTTGTATTATTATTAATTCAAGTGCTCCATTTTACACCTTTTTCGTACAGAATTTTCTAAATATATTTAATATTAAAATCTCGGAGTGATTCAATTTAGAATTTAATTATTGCTCCAACTTTTTAGTTGTAACTATACATATACGTAAAACATATGCGTATATATTTTTATGCGATATTCATATTATTAAACATTCAAGTGTTCCATTTCACACTTTTTTGTACAGAATTTTCTAAATATATTTGATATTAAAATCTCAGAGTGATTACATTTAGAAATTAATTATTGCTCCGTCTTTTTGATTCTAACTGTACGTACGTATAACATATGCGTATATATAAAATATGTGTATATATTTTTATACAATATTCGTATTCATATTATTAAACATTCAAGTGTTCTATTTCACACCTCTTCGTACAAAATTTTCGAAATATATTCGATATTAAAATCTTGGAATGCTTAAGTTTAGAATTTTAATTTTGAAGAAGGAAAATCCTTGTTCGAATAGTAACATGCAATTAACGATGGAACTTTAATGATTAAAAAAAATCTTTCCTCAATGGTAAAAGTCGACCAAACTGGCAATCATTTATTATAAATAATTAATTAATATACAACGTTTCGGCTGTCATTGCAGCCCTTTTCAAGTAAATCAAACATAAATGCATAATAAATTAATACAGTAAATCAAATTCACTGCATACCACCGACAATATTCACCATTGTTTTAATGAACAATGTAGAATTGACTGAAGTAAGCAAGAAATAAATAGATGTTAACAGTTAGCAAGAATCTTAGTCACATTTTATTAATTATTACTGGCGAACCTTCAGGATGATTATCTGTTTAATGATTAAAGTCCAATATATTCAATTATTTATTGTTAGCGTATTTCGCCTTTTAATTTTGACATAATTATTTAATTTATTTTGACATCGTATTGCGACTTTTTATTAGAATTTTTATATACATTTATTTATTTATTATAACGTTTATCGCGCACTGAAGAAGACTGAGTATAATTCGAAACGTTTGTAATTGGTTTTTTAAATTAAGTTTTTCCAAGATTGATAATAATTTTTTATTCACTCGTTACACATGGCCTCGTAATATTTAATAAGTTATCATTATATTCAATTATTTTAAATTGAACGCGCGCTTAACGTAGAAAAATAAGGAGCGTCGGTTTAGGTGTACGGTAAAAATCGAGGAAATATCCGGGAACCATCGTTAGCGCGCTGCTAAGTGGCCGGGAAATCTTTTTTTGGAAACGTACGGTCACGTGGCGCATAACAAGTCGCGCGGGCACCGGATAACAAGCTCGTCCATTTCCACGGTATTCTCCTTGCTCATAATCGGCGCTCGTTAACCGCGCGAGAACGAGCTCGATACAGCGGAGGTAGAGAAGTTTTACGGGACTCTGATTGCGAGAGCTCGTTTTTCCGATTGCCAGTTGTTGCCCGCAACCAATTTCTGCCTGACGCGCGAACACCTCCGCAACGCAGAGGTTCCCCTGATTCGGGAAAACGACTTCCGGCCAACTCTCGCCGTGCCAGTCGAAACCTCATTACTGCCCGAGAATTGAGCACCCTTTTCGCGATTGCGAGATAAATAAAAGCGCACCGTCGTTTTACGTTGCTTCGTTCGCAGAGACGCAAGACGGCCACTTCGGGATGTTTCCCTTTGTCTTCCGGATTATGCAAACGCGACGACGACGCCGTCCCTTACCCGCTTTCTTTCGATAGGATAGGTCGACGCCCTTGCAATTTCGCGGAAGAGCTGCTCTTTGAAGCGGATGTAAACGTGAATGTCCCTTTTAGGATAGTTGCGCGAGCGCGCGAAAAGGCTTCTTTGGAAAATGTTTTTTCCGTCGTTCTTTCTCTCTCATTGTAAATTTCGTTCGATTCTGTTCGGCTGCACTGCGGAGGAATCTTGTTGATTGACCCAGAAGTACAAAACGTTGTCCCGAGTTATCCTTGGCAAAAGATGCGAGAGAGAGAGAGAGCGGGTTTTTCATCGACGACAGATTGGAGCGAATTCCTCGGAGAATTTTCGCTGATTTTTCGAGAATATTCAACAATTCGCGAGAATTACACGTTCCTCCTCCGTTCGTTCTCGCGAAAATTTACGTTGCACCGTCGTTGTAGCGGTGATTATTTCGCGGATATTATACCGCGCACACCGTATAAGGAAGTGAAGCGCCTTTATACAAGAGGTACGGCTTTACTTCTCCCCTTTTGATCGAGCTCGAAGTAATATCGTTGCCGCGCGAGGAGAAAAGACAGGAGATAAAGCTGGCCTTCTTCTTCGAATGAAATATGCAATCCCCTTTCGCGCCGTAATGTAAAGGATGAAGCTTGTAGTTTTCTTTTACTCGCTACGAGCTTCGCTCGCCGCCACCCTTTACCCTTTATTTGATCCGTTAACGATAAAATTCTCTTTTTCGGAGTTAACGGGAAATATATGACGAACGCTGCGCACAGATAAGCGTATAACGGGATGCAAAATGAAACCTTCTCTCTCTCTCAGTTGCCCCCGAGTGTTATCTCAAAGTGCGTTAGTTTTATCATCCACCATCGCGCGAACTTGGATCATAAATGAAGCGCTTAACTCAAACATAAACTGTTGCACCCTATCCTTTCTAATTCTTCCTTTTGAAGTACCAACCTTGCGCGAGCTACAGCTTCATTTTTCTCCGGGTAAAATACGTACAATTAAGTTACGGGGCATTTTGCCTCCTGATTAACATGGTAACAAGCAGCCTGCGGTATATTTCCCATTTTCATAAAAATATAATATCACAAATTTTACACAAACGATATAATAAATGAAAGAAAAATGTCTCGGCGAGTCAACAAATTGCTGTAGCAGAGAAATAACTACGCGTTCATTTATCGTGTATGCGTGCCTATTAAATTAATTTTTCTTATTGGAATTTCTTATTGCAAGAACCCTATGCGTCTCTCGTAATTGAGACACGTAACGTGTGTATTTCGCGCAGAATCGTAAGGAATTTTCTGAGAACAAGCACGCGCGGCATCTCCTTTGCAGCGAGAAATAAAATCAACGGCGCGTAACGGGCCGGGAAGCGTTGAGGTGCCATTAAAGTACGCCGTAATGAGGAACAGGCCGAGCGGGCGTAATTAGTAAATCGGATTTACGTAATCCTGTTTGTATCGCGATCGGAAAGAAACAAGACTTCGGAAGCTCTCCGAGGTAACGAGATTGCCGCGGAAAAACGCGGCTCGGTCCGCGCATTTCTATGCCCTCTTTCCTCTTTTTCTCTCCTTCTCTCTCCCGTGCGATAACTTCCTTATTCTCGCACGCGGTTCCACGTCGATTTAATTTTTCAATCGACGAGAAAAGGCAAAGATCGTAAAAGATCTCTTTTTTATGCCTCGCGTCGTTGTTGCCTCCGGCATTTTATTTTTCTTTCCGCACCGAGGGAAAGAGGGAATGAGAAAGAAGCTTTTTTTTTTTTTAATCCGAGAAGCTCTCACCGGAAGCTTGATAATTGTCGCGGCGACACTAAACTCACGACGCGGTTCGCCGCTAGTTTGCATTATGGTTTCCACCCCGCGTCGGCCAACCGGCGATGGTAAGTTTAACCTGTTGTTATTACCACGAAGAACCGGAAGAGCTTAAAGCGGATTAACCGTCTTTTTTATTGCACGTCTGCCCCGGTTAGGTCAGCGTCCTTGGTCACGCGAATCCGATTAGAGGGAATCCGAAGATGAAAACTGCAACCACGCCGTAGCTTCTAAAGTAGAGCGTTTTATCTATCAAACTTTCAAGATCATGATAAAAATTGTGTGAAGAAATTTAATATCCGTGATCTTATTAGCTTTACAGTTTTTTTTTGCATTTTTTACTACGCGCTCTTTCTCTCTTTACGCGCTTCATTATTACTTGTTTTTTTATTTTTTTTATTTAGTAGTTTATCGCATATTCGATAAATTTATATTACCTTTATTTATTTTAACAAATCGCTTTATCATTCGGGAAATCGAATTGAATGGTTTATATCGTCAGCACATTTGATTTATCGCGGAATTTTATTATTATTATTATTTTTTTTTTACGTCGAACGATTTCTCACTTAGGATAAAAGATGCGATCGGCGCGCAGCGTTAAATCATATTTACGTCGCAACTTTCATTGATGTTGCAGGTTCATGAAAGTTCGGCGTAGGTAGAGGCTTTATTGGCCATCGTGTCGGACTGTTTCCGAGGATATAAAAGAGGAACTTGTTTCGCGCCTCAAAGCGAAATTGCGCTTTTGATCTCGCGCTTTCGAGCATGCACCGACGAATTTCTTCGCGATAACTCTCGCGCCTTCAACCGCGCTAGAACGCTACCACTTAAAGTTCACGATTTAATTTCGATAATGCGAAAGTTGAGAGTCTCCTCCCGTAATGAAAGTTTCCGATGTCTTTCGACGCCGAGGACGTAGTCTGGTAATTTACCCGAGCGACTTTTCGATATTCATATATCCTCGTCGAGACCTGAA